CATTTAGAGAATCATGTCATACATAAATCAAGATAGATAATGAAAAACATATCTTTACTATATTATTACTCATAATGATGGGCTCCTGGTAGCAGTTGGACGATGTCCTCGCGTCTTGACCTACAATTACAATTACATTACACAACATATGAATATAGTCGATCCCTTTCTTTGCTCTTTAATCAATTAGTTATGTTGGTTCTAAAATCATTAGTCCTTAATAGGTCATAATCCGTGCTTAGGGAAATAGGAGGAAACGAAAGGAAACTGGGTTAGATGAAGAATTAGCATGAAACCAGTAGAGAGAAAGTGAACAAACTTCACTAATTTGATCATATCTATTTGTGTACTTAGAATTTGGGTATGAGACCACCACCATTGGAAACTACACTTCTGGGGCTTGAATTTAGGGTCAAGAATCACTTGAAACAGAGTCCGGATGAGAGAGATGTGCTCATTTGAAAGTGGCCTAGAACATGGGTGCCCGCACGTGCGGGAATCAAGGCTGCACGTGCGGGACAAGGTGTTTTTGTTTCATAATCAATTTAGATGCTGGAAGTGGACTGCCGCACGTGCAGGGAGCCCCGTCACATGCTCAACACACACTCAAGCATAGGCTTCCTTAAGAGGCCAAAATTTGTCCTTTTCAAGGACAACAAGGAGAGGGGGTGGCCCTCTCTTTCTTGGGACTTCAAAGCATCATCTTCACCATTGAAATCCCTCAAGATTTCAGTGGTGAAGAGACCTCAACACCAAAATCCCGGAGCTAGCACAAAATGGCTCAAAATGAGGCCTTTTGAGGCCTAAGGGTGGTCAACAACCCTCAAACAACAAAACACTCTTAATAAACAATAAAGAGGGCCTAAAAACAGAACTTTTTTATGTTATACAATAATCACAAAAACAGCTCTAAGACTAGTAGAAAATCAATGCAAAAAAGGGGGAAAAAGGGACTAGAATCTCACCCTTGATGCCTTCTTCAACAAGGATGCTTCAATGGCCTCCTTTGGCTCCAAACCAACACCAAAACTTCAAAACACACTCCTTAGAACCTCAGCTCCAAGAGGAAGGTGAAACAGTAGGTGTTTGTGTGCAATAGTGAGACACAAAACACCTAGTGTGCAAAATGAGAGGGAACGAGAGATAGGTTGTGTATGTCTAACCCTAACCCTAAAAAACCAGAGCTCTCCTCTGTATTTTTCCTCTCTCAAAAATGTCTAAAGCCTCTCCTTTGCCTTTTGAGAGAGCTTCTCTCTATATGCCTCTTGTAAAGCTTACAAGACAAGCTTTGCAAGAGGGAGATCCCTCCATACACGTGTATGGAGGGGAGAAAAATCAATACAACTGTCTAAAAATATCTACAAAAGCAGATGAACAGCAATCGGCCGGCCAAAAATGCCATCTTGGCCAAAAACAGTACCGGTCGGCAACAAATAGTGCTGACCGGCAACAAAGAGTGCCGACCGGCAAACTATATTGCCGGTGGCAGCAAAAACCAGCCGGTGGCATACAAGACG